AAATATAGAAGGGTACGACTTAGGCAGTGGAGGTACGATTTGAGCAACCTTATCCGATATTTATAAATTTATTATTAGAATTTGTATAATGGGTATATATTATAAATATTTATATATAATTTAAGAAACAGCTATTTATCTTACAGGCAATTCGATCTCCTTCCTTGAAACAGATAAAATCAGCCAGGCTGTCTGTTACGTTTTGAAATGTCCTTTTATGGTCCTTTTCCTGTTCGTCCAGGCATGGTTCTATCGATAATGTGAAATTGAAGACACATTGTTTAAGGACGGGTGTCAATTGGCAGTATCTGGAAAAAATATGTTTTAAATTAAACACGAGTATAATATATTATAATATATATGTATTATATTTAAACTGTTTATCAAAAATAATTAGCATGTTTGATAAATTTGCACAAAATTGTGCAATTTATCCTACAGCAACATATACATCAGTACACTTATAAATCAATCGTAAATTAGTATATTGATTTCTTTTTTATTGCGTCGATTATTTACACATGCCGGAAAGTTCGTTCAGTAGCCTAGGAATAATGCCACTTACAGCTAATGCTTTATATATTTAATAATTGTGAAATAAATATAGTCGCTACATATAAAGATAGAACAAATTTATTGGCAATGGAGATTATTCATTATCTAATCTACTTTGGCAAGATAAGACAAATTTGCAGTAAACATCAGGTAATCGCAGATCGAATTCTCTAGAAATAATCAGTTTGAAGTTCTCTGTCGGTTATTGTGGAGCAAGTGAAAATGGATCATGACTCAAAATCAAGTGAAAATTTCTCTAGTGATAGTGATGAAGAACGTGAAAAAAATACTGAACTATTCTCAGCCATAAGAATCGGAAATTTAGAAGTGGTTCAGAACTTACTGACCGCTGGTGTAAAAACCAATATAGTTGACAAAAATAACAAAGACAATACGCCTTTGCACTACGCCACAGAGAAAAATAAAAAAGATTTGGTGGAGGAACTTTTGCATCCAAAATGGAAAACAGATATCAATGTCGGGAATACAAAGGGCGATACTCCATTGCACATTGCAGTTTCGAAAGGATTTGAAGACATTGTGAAAATATTGTTAAACCACAATGCAAAAGTTGATATTTCCAATAACAGCGGTAGAACACCTCGGGATATTGCCAAAATGATTAATAATGAAAAAATTGCGCAAATGTTGTGCCCAGTATTAGCTACAAGTGAAAATCAATCAGAACATATGGTAGGAATTGAAGAAGAAGCAAGCCATTCATTCACAACCAAACCAAGTAAGTAAACTTTAGTATTTAACCCACTTGCATCATAAAGAAGCCTAGAAAACTATTGGTGCGTTTTAAAATTCTTTTGGTCTGGGAATTTCAATAATAATCCTTAAGGCACGATGCCATGCCCCACTAGTTTTACTTTTTATTGGATCTCCAAAACCGCTAGACCTGCCTTCCCAAAAGTTATCAGTTCTTCATTTCAAATCAAAGGAAGTATCCGATTTGGATGGTCCAAAAAACATTAAATTTGTAATGATAGTGAGAAGTGGTGATTAGTTTTTGGCAGAGACAGGTCTAGCTGTTTCGAAGATACGGGGCAAAAACAGGCAAAAATGGTAATTCAATTTTTGAGAGAACCGATCATCCGATTAAATTGATTCAAAATACATTTTGCTTGAGTAGACGGTGTGCAAAAAATGCTTTTACAAAAAATTTCGAAATTTAAAAAAAATAGAAAAAAACTAAATTTTCAGAAAAAAATCAAGGATTCAAAAAATACAAATTTTCGAAATTTTCACCATTTTCAAAAAAAAAACTAAATTTTGAAAAATCTCAAAAAATATCAAAATTAAAAAAAAAAATCTTACAAAAATTGAGAATATTTCGAATTTTTCCAAATACCAAAAATCCAAAAAATTTCAAACCTCTAAAAAAATTTCAAAATTTTGAAATATTTCTAAATTATCAAAAAAATGAAATTTAAAAAAAAATAAACAAAGTTGTTTGTAGAATACGCTCGTCGCCTAATTTAAAAAGCACTTATAAATTTACAGTATGTATTTATAATAAACTAGCTGACCCGGCAAACGTTGTTTTGCTAAATAAGGTATATTCTAAACCATTTCTAGAGGATCAAAAATATTAATACGTTAAGTGCATAAGGATGTGTTGTTTGAATGCTGTATACAATTAGGTATTATAAAAACAATAAACCCCATAAGTTTCTCTATATTTTGTCAATACAATCAAACTGGAAAATTTATACACTTTCTATTGAAAACATCGTATAATCCAATCCGAGTCTTTTTTTGTCTTTCGGCTTGTTAATTACGTTTCAAGTTTTTCAGATTCTTTTTGGATTCTGGATTTTGATATAATTGTAAATAATACTACTGAGCTTAAACAAAATTTTCAAATTTTTGCGAGGAAAGATAAAAAATGAATTAAGTATTTCTTCTTTGACCTGCTTTTTGAAAAGTTTCAAGTTACATTCGACGAATTAAAGTAAATTTAATAAAAAGTATATATGTAGAGCAGGGCGAGATACAAAGGTCCAATTTGACTTTGAGCAAATATAAACTATATTGTGAAAACCATAACAATTATATCACAACAAATAAGACATATCAAACGAACAATTATCTGACTACGTTCAGTAAACTGACTTCTATTAATACTTCATCATTGTAGAAATGTGCTAGTTTGATATCTTCCAAAAATTTGTTATCTAGACCTTTTTATCCTATATGCGGGGTAACTTGTAACGGGCAGGTGGCAAAAGGTTTAAAGCCTTATTATAATTTTAAAGGTGTTTTACAAAATAATTACATTTTTAACTAATGCTAAAACTACCAACCGAAGAAAATACTTTTATAATGGATTTTCAAAGATTACCGTTTATCTCCCCCATTTCAAAGATTATCTTTTTCAAATCAAGTTTGTAGCTGGCTATACATCTTTTTTCCTCTACTTTTAAATATTGTTGTTAAACAATGCTTAACTTTACTGATTTTTGGCACATCGATGGTGGACCTTTTTAATCCCGGACCTTCATATATTACTATCTATTCGGCGATAAATTCTGGGAAATTATAACTGGAAAAATGTTATTCGACAAAATGTCCATTTGATCGATACCAAATTTATAGTCTAAGAGCCAGTGAACTATTTGACTAACCTGTTTTCTCAAAGCTAGAAATTTTTTTAATGATATTTTATTATCGGTACATTAAGAAAGTGCCGGTCTGGCAAGCATTTACTGATTGCGTCATCATCCCTCGAATTTTTGAAAATGTAAAAAAACTCATTTTTTTAACTTGCTTTCACAAGGCTCAAATTTTGAGGGAGTATTCTTGTAACTGTTCAGAAAGCATATGTAGAAAGCCAGACCATTCTGACGATTGCAAGGTTCTGCCAGACGAGTACATAATAGTCACGACGCGCAAGGGTGTAGGCGCATTGCCATACATGATCGACTAATCCCTTGTATTTGAATAATTTATACGCCATTTTGAAGGTCATTTTGAAACATCCGATATACCAAACTTCAACTTTGTATCTCACCTTGTGGCCGAGATATCATTGAAAATATGCCAAAGTGGCCCCTTTTCCAAACTCAATTTTTGGCGTAACCATAAAAGATATCGAAAAAAAAATTACGTGATTCTACTCATATTGGCTTAGGCCGCTTAATGTATAGTAATATATGCTAAATAATCCTTTATTATTAGCTAAAAAGGATAAAATAATTTTTCAATTAATGTTTTCGGATAGTGCGTTTTGTTCAATTACTTTCTTATTAGCGTTATTCGAAAGCCTATTGTTTTTTCTTTTAGTACTGCAAAAATTGTTCAAATCAAATTTGTGGAACACATTGAAAAATTGAAGAAACCAGAGTTTATATACCCGCGCGTAACGCATTGCGCACTGCGATCCGATAGAACGAATTCTATGCGGGCTACTATTCTTGTGCATAGAACTCGTTCGATCGGATAGCAGTGCGCGATGCGTTACGCGCGGGTATACAAACTCTGGTTTCTTCAATTTTTCAATGTGTTCCACAAATTTGATTTGAACAATTTTTGCAGTACTAAAAGAACTAGCTGTAAGTGGAATTCTGTCTTAAGGCAATTAATGCATCGTGCCTTAAGGCAAATTGCTGGAACTTCCCGTACGAAAAATTATTATTGTTTTAAAAACGATTAACATTTTTGAAAAAAATTTACTTCGAAAAAATAAGATTTTTGACAAACAATTAGACAAAAAATTACTTTTTTTTGAAAAAAAAATTTTTTTTTGATTTTTTTTTTAATTTTTTTTTTTAAAAAAAAAATGTTTTCTTTATTTTGACATATTTTAAAAGATCTGAACTTTTTTTCAAAGCAATCGTTCTGCTTTAACTGCATGAAGACGAAATATCAAACCGCGTAAGCGCCGCGTCGACGTCTAACGCGTAAACATTGGTACGGAACCCATAGGAATGTAAACCAAAATTATACTTATTGTTAAAATCTCTATTAAATATCTGATAATTTAATGTGCATATGTCTAATGATCATTTTTGACCGCCAAATGGCATTTTTTTTTACTTTTTTCATTAGATCTCCGAAACCGCTAGACCTGCCTTTATGAAAATTAGATCGGTTCTTCACCTTGTCAATACAAGTAAAATGTTTTTGAATTATTCAAATCGGACGCTCCGTTCTCTTAAAACTGAGTTACCGTTTTCGGCACTTTTTGCCCCATATCTTCGGAACGGCTAGACCTGACTCCGCCAAAAACTAATCGTCTCCTTATCAATACGAATCGAATGTTTTTTGAATTATTCAAATCGGTTGATCGGTGTTCCCGAAATCGTCGACGAAAATTTGTATCCGCACATACATACACACACGCACACACACACACACACACACACACACACACACATACATCCATTTTTTCTGAAGGTATGCCAAAATATTCAGAAACCTTTGAAACATCGAGAAATGCAAAAATTTTCATTTTCGATTTTTTTGCGATTACTATAACTTACCCTACGGGAAGTTAAAAAACAATAGGCTTTCGAATAACGCTAATAAGAAAGTAATTGAACAAAACGCACTATCCGAAAACATTAATTGAAAAATTATTTTATCCTTTTTAGCTAATAATAAAGGATTATTTAGCATATATTACTATACATTAAGCGGCCTAAGCCAATATGAGTAGAATCACGTAATTTTTTTTTCGATATCTTTTATGGTTACGCCAAAAATTGAGTTTGGAAAAGGGGCCACTTTGGCATATTTTCAATGA